GGGGGCCGCTCGGCTTGGGATGTCTGTGTTGCTTGTCGGTGATGAGAGATGGTCATCGTAGTGTCCCCCTGGCTCAGCGGGTGGTGGGAACCAACAGTCTACGGGGTTCTATCGTGATGTGAGTAGGTCATGTGCTGCTTTGCTCCGTGTTGGATGTGTAGATTGTTTTGTCTGCGCTCTGCCGCGGTCTTGCTGCCCGTGCCGCTTGCTTTGCAGATCGTCCTCGCTGCTCTGCTGCCTTGCCGCTTACCTGCGGGTTGTGCCTCCCGTGTCTTTTGCTCACGTGCCTTATGGCTTGGTAGTCTTGTGGTGGTGCCACGCGCTTCGCTGCACAGTTGCTGAGCTGCTTGTCCGTGTGCCCTGTCGGCCTTCAGTGTCCTTGCGTGCATGCCTTGTAGTTTGGTTGCCTTGTTGGTGGTGCCTTATGCTTCACTGCACGGTTGCCGAGCTGCTCGTTTGCTTACCCTGCTGGCGTTCCGCATCCCTTACTTGCTTGCGTGCCTTGTAGTCTGGTCGCCTTGCTGATGTTGCCTTGCGCTGCACTACACAGTTGCCGAGCTGCTCGTCTGCTTGCCCTGTCATTCCTTGCAGTCGCCTTTGGTGATAAGCAGTTGAGCTGCCTCTACTGTGATGCCTGGTGCTCCACAGGGTTGCTGCCCACTGCTATGTCCCGCTTGAGGACAGTCTACCTTCAACATGGGTTAAAGGGTTCATGACCCAAACCATCAAATACGAGGATTCCATAGATTGTCGAGGGTTGAGCCTCCTGATGAGTCGGTGCAATTCCGACAAAACAATCTTGTTGTCATCAGTTTTTATTTTTTTTGGTCCTTTGACTTTCTTGGGATTTGTATTTTTTTCGATTTGCCTGTTTTTGTCGATGCTAGTTGTTTCTCAGCTCACTGTCTTTGCCTTGTCTTATCGTGTTTTTGTGCCCGCCCGCCTCCCCCATGCCCACCAGCCTATGTGTTTTGTTGTTGCTTGTCATCTATGTGCCTCGTACGTCTCCTAAGTGTGCATCCAACCTTGAGTACTGCCTCTGTTTTTCGTGAGTGAGTAATGCCTATTTGCCACCCTTATGATACGTGATTGCTTCCTGGAATTTTCGATGCTCTTTGTCTCTCCCGCCTTGTGTGTCTCCATATACGAATACGTTAATGCCACCCTGTGTATGGATTGTTATGTGCAAAGGTGATACAACCTCGCTTCTTTGGCAATCGTGAATGCACACCTTGTTACGTTGTTCGCCGCGTTTGCGGGGCTCTGTTTATCTCAACACACATACACATATACACATCACACACACACACACACACACGCACACACACACACACACACACACACACACACACACACACACACACACACACACACACACACACACACACACA